ATATATATATATATATATATATATATATATATATATATATTTATTTATTTTTATCATTGTATTTTTTTATGGTGAAAAATAAAAGATGTTCCTATTATTATTATTATTATTATTTTTATTATTATTATTATTATTATTATTATTATTCTATGCTGTTCGAATAATACGAGGGTTGGACGTTTACGTTCAGCTCACTATTTTTAAGCATAATTTCGATTTTATGTCATTCAAATTAGTTTTAAAATAGATTCTGTTGTCTTGAAAAATTTAGAGGATTGTGGCGATACTTTTAAAATTAAATTTCATTAACCTTAAATATTTTATTTTAATTATTTTAATTAATTCAATTTATACTGTTAATTCAACTAAATGTCCACATTGCGACAAAAAATTCGTTAACGTTAATAAACACTCCTGGAGGTATACTAAAAATACTGCTAATTCAAACGACAACGCTGTTTGTTCAAATGTAAAATCAAACATAAACATTTCACCCGATATTTATAAAGGCAATTCTGTGGATAATTATTCAATAAATTTAGAAAATAATTTTATAACATGTTGTTGCGGAAAAGGATGCAAAGGCAGGAAAGGGTTAATTATGCAAAATGCATAAAGAAATTCAACTAACGGACAACCAAACAAACGAAGTTGACGACACAGCATCACCTCCGGAACAACAAACGTCTTCCAAATCAAGTCGCACAACACCAATTTCTCCATCAACGCCGGCCAGTGACACAATCGAATCCACTCTGCCGGGCACCAAACTACCCAAGACGTCGACCCAATGGTCCGAAGCCAACGTTTACTTTCAACTACAACAACAATCACTTCCAAGCTATGACAATATCGACAACTTCACGTCCGCCTTCCAACAAATGATTTACAACTATTTCGCCACAAACTATGGCACTCTTAAACAACAAACAGTCAATAATACCAGCTCCAACAAATCAATCAAAAATCTAAAAAAAAGAACTAAAACAGCTAAAGCTACTAGGCCACAACAATCAGCGCTTCGATGACCAAATCATCACAACAAGCAAAGCGCTCAGAGCTCAAATAAAGTCAAAAAAATTAACAAAATGCGAGCAATCAGTCGACGTCACGTCTCAGCTAAAATAGCGCTTTTGGGGGGACATGTAAGAAAATAAATATTCGACCAAACAGAAAATTTGAAGCCACCGTTTGGTGTCACTGATTGCCATCAACTTTCGACTCTCAACAATCCTCATCAAACAAAATACCAAATACCTAGCTGGGCTCCAAAATTACAAAAGCCTTCAACACTCTGCAACACAAGCCCTCCTACATACCACGAAATTTCAACAATAATCCATAAATATAAATCAAAATCATCACCATGCTCTTTCGACCAGATTTCGATAATTCTATTTAAAAAATGCCCAGTACTACGAACAATTCTCTACAAACTGTTGGTTCAATGCTGGGTATCTTGCAATATCCCCACTTGCTGGAAAAAAGGTTTCACAGTTCTCATCCACAAAAAAGGGGACGCCAACGACCCTTCAAACTTCAGGCCCATAACATTGCAACCAACTTTATACAAAATATTCTCATCATTCATCAACAATAAAATATATAATTTTTTAGAAAAAAATAGTCTGATCAACACAAATATTCAAAAAGGGTTCTACCCGAAAATCGATGGTCTGACCGAGCATAATCAGCTCTTAAGTCATCTTCTCAACGATGCCAGGAAACATCAAAGAACTATAATTGTTTCCCTACTCGACCTTCGAAACGCGTTTGAAGAGGTCAACCACAATCTCATCTCATCAACTCTGAACTTCCATCATATTCCATCTCATATAAGCAACTTAATTAAATGCATTTACGCGAACTACTCAATAACAGTATCCGGATGCGACCAGCTAACACCGCACATTCCAGTCAAACGAGAAGTGCTTCAAGGTGATCCCATGTCTCCACTTCTCTTCAACCTCTGCTTTAACCCCCTAATGTAACTAGTTGAAAAAACAGAATATCAACAATGCGGCTACATATGGGGTTCCACGGCTAAATTAAAGACAAGAGCGTGGCTACAATTTGCAGACGACACGGCGATCATTGCTAACAGCACTGGAAGCGCTCAAAAGTTAATTGACTTAAACAATGCATGGTGCAAAGCTACTGGAATGACAATGAGGATAGACAAATGTTCCTCATTCGGCATGAGAAAAAGAAAAGGTGCTTATGAACAGTTTCATCCGATGCTGTCCATCGACGAAAAACATATTCCTCATGTAGATATTGGAGGCCACTTCGTATATTTAGGTAAATTATACGATTTCGAAGGAAATAATACAAAGGCCAACAATCTAATGGTCAATAAACTCAAAAAAATGTTAACAACTGTCAGTGAACTGAACACAATAGCTCAACTCAAACTACAAATCATCAGACTTTACTTGCCGTCACAATTTGCGTTTGAGTTTCGAATGTACGATACATCGCTGACTTGGATTGGTGAAAACTTAAATACCTTGGTCACCGAATCGACAAGAACATGGCTATCATTGTCTATCAGCAGCTGTCTGTTGGAAACTATGTCGCTCCCATATAAGTCAGGTGGTCTAAATGCTAGATCACTCAAACATTTTGCCGAATCTCTAAGAGTAAAATTACGAAATTACCTTAATTCAAACGGCCACGAGGAGTTGAAATTTTTGTGGAGTGAGTCATACAATAAATATATTAAAATTGACAACATGCTTCCCGACTCAAATGACACAAAATCGACACTCAGCGCTCTAAAGAACCGGCAAGTAAATGAAGAACTGGAACATTTGCTGTCACTCCGCTGCCAAGGGACCATTTTTAAGTCGATTAAAGACAACATTCCCGTGTTTAGAATTGCTCACTGGTCGAGGTTCACCGCCAAACTTCCTGAAGTACTGTTCAAATTTGTTAGGAAAAGCCTTATTCAACAGCTTCCAACAAATGCTTATCTATTTAGATGGGGAAAATCGTCTTCTACCCTTTGTACACTTTGCAATGCTCGGCAAACCAACAAACATGCCCTTTCCAACTGCAGCTCGGTGGCAGCATTAAAAAGATACACAACACGCCATAACAATATTCTAAATATAATAATATAAAAATTGAAATCTTGCGCAGGACCAGAGGTTGCGATGTATGCAGACGACGTTTATGATGGGATCCGCCCACTGTCATGTTTCTTCAAATCACTTCGTCCCGACATCGCACTACTCCGTGATAACACAATCGAAATATTGGAGCTCACCGTCTGCCATGAGTCTAATTTTTTCAATTCAAAACAATATAAAATAGACAAATATTCTAATAACCTCCATAACAATTTACTTGACAATTTAAAACATTTAAAAATAATAATCAACACTTTCGAAATTTCGCCGCTAGGTTTTTTCAATTGTTTCGATTTGTCGCTGGTTGACATTATTTGGTCTGATCAATTTTATAATAGTCTTATTAACTCAGCGATATCCTCATCATACGCTGTTTATTGTGACAGAAATTTGACTGAATGAATCAATGTAAAACTAATCTGTTCTCGTTGTACTCGTTTCGTGTTTCTTTCACTGAATGACGAGCTACGTAGAATACGCTTTTACAATTTTTTTTACCTAAATCATTTTTGATTATCGTCGATTATTTTATCCAAACTTTATTTCATTTCATTTTATCTATCTTAATGTAATTTTTTTTTGTGGGGAAAATAAAAGATGTTAACATTATTATTATTATTATTATTTTACTTTATTTCATTGAATATTTATTTCGCCCTTATTTGGAAAAAATAAAAGAGTTCCCATTATTATTATTATTATTATTACTATTACTATTATTATTATTATGTTGGCATGAGAGTTGGCGTTGGCAGAAATGTTTCAACTCACTGTTTTTATACATAATATTGATTTTAATGTCTTTAAATCCGTTTTAAATTAGGTTTATATTGTTTGTAAAATTGCGGGGAATATGGCTGTTTTTAAGAAAATCCCATTTTATTACATTTTATATTTTTTTAATTTTAAACCTAATTTCTAAATTTAGAGCAACTAAATGCGAATATTGCAATAAATCTTTTATTAATGTTGGCAGACACTCCTGGCGTAGCACGAAAAATACAGCTAACTTTAACGTTAACGCTGTACACTCGCTTGCAAATTCAAATGTGGATATTTCTGCAAACATTTTCAACTCAAATACTGCCAATAATTATTCAGTCAATATGGATAATAACAATTTAATTCAATGTTGCTGCGGAAGGTTCTGCAAAGGTCGCGAGGGATCAAAAATGCACCAACGTTCGTGCAAAACACGTAAACAACTTCAATTAACTAACGATGAGGAAAACACCGTTGTAACATCAACCTCGACGTCGCCACCACCTTCGCCATCGTCGGATGTTCAACAACAACCAACGACATCAAGCCACTACACGCTTCAAAATGTTGAAAACACTTAAACGCTCCTCCTTGGAATCAGACTTCCACGAAGACCTGCTCAATGGCTTGAGGCCAACGCGTATTTTCAGCTTCATCAATCAACGCTACCAAATCTCACCAATTTGAATGAATTTGCAATCGGTTTCCAAACCATGATCTACAATTAATTTGCCTCCAACTTCGGCACCATCAACAATAAGATTAAATTAGACGGAAATACAAAAAAATCAATTAAGCTGTTGAAAAAAGAATTAAAACAACTTAAATTCTTGGGCCACAATAACCATCATTTTGACAACCAAATAAAGTCGGTTAGTAAAACGTTGAAATCGAAGTTATCGTCATCAAAATCTTCCGACTCAACTAAACGACACAACACAACAAGCCAACTCAAACGTCGATTTTGGTGATTTTGCAAAAAAGTTTTTAATTCATCTACAAGTTTGAGCCCGTCATACAGCGTCACCGTCTGCAAAAACTACTTTCACTCTATCCAAAGCGACACTCACAACAACAAGCAACAGCTGCCAAACTGGATCCCAAAACTCTCTACGCCGCCAACACCTTGCAACACAGATCCTCCCAGCTACAACGAAATCTCAAAAATCATTCGAAAATATAAATCAAGATCATTTCAATGCCCACAAGACCAGATCTCAATAATACCATTCAAAAAATTCCCAATTCTCAGAACTATTCTCCATCGGCTATTAATCCAATGTTGGTCATCTTCTTCAATTCCTTCATGCTGGAAAAAAGGATTTACGATACAAATCCACAAAAAAGGTGATACCAACAACCCATCGTACTTCCGCCCAATAACACTACAACCAACACTATACAAAATATTTTCATCGTTCATTAACAATAGAATGTATAGCTTTCTTGAAACAAACAAATTAATAAATAAAAACATTCAAAAAGAGTTCTATCCTAGCGTTGATGGATTAGCTAAACACACCCAGATGTTAACGCACATGATCAACGATGCTAAGAGACACCAACGTACCATCATCGTCACACTCTTAGATCTTCGTAACGCATTTGGAGAAGTCAGCCACAACCTCATCTCCTCGACGCTAGATTATCATCACATTCCTCTTCAGATTAAAAATTTAATAAATAATATTTATGCCGATTATTCAATTTTTGTCTCTGGTTGCGAAAGCTTAACTCCTCCCATTCCGGTTAAACGTGAGGTCCTGCAAGGAGATCTCGATTCCCCTCTGCGGTTTAATCTGTGTTTTAATCCGTTTATGAAACTAATTGAAAAAAAAAGAATTTCAGCAGTGTGGATACATATGGGGACACACAACCAATCTAAAAACCAGAGCTTGGCTTCAGTTTGCCTTGCGAATCACATTATTGCCAACAGCACTGACAGTGCCCAGAAATTAATTAATCTGAACCAAGCCTGGTGCAAAGCAACCGGAATGAGTATGGGGATTGACAAATGTTTTGCCTTTGGCATGAGAAAGTAAAATGGCATATACGAACAGTTTCTCCCAAGGTTGACCATTGATGATAAAGCAATACCTGACGTTGAACTTAATGGTCGTTTCGAATACCTGGGAAAAATTTACGATTTTGAAGGACACGACTCAAGGGCAAAAAAGTTACTCTTCAAAAACTCCGACACATGTTGTCGGTTATAAACGGGTTGGACACAACGCCACAATGGAAATTGCAAATATTATGGCAATACATCCCATTCCAGTTGGCATTCGAACATCGCACTTATGACATTCCGTTGATTTGGATAGGCAACAATCTGGATCCATTGATTGCTGAATCGGTTAGAAACTGGTTGGCCCTGCCAATTAGCAGCTGCGTGTCGGAGTGTCTATCACTCCCTTTCAAATCAGGAGGATTGAATATCAGGTCATTGAAAACTTACGCAGAAGCGTTAAGAGTCAAACTCATGCCAATGAAGAAATAAGGTGTCTACATAAAGAATCTTTCAACAGTTACATCAAAATAGACAACATCCTTTCTGAATCAGCTGAAATAAAACCAACACTCAAAGCACTATTGGCGGGTCAACAAAAGTCCGACTATGTTCATCTATCATCACTTCAATGTCAAGGGATGTTAGTTAAAGCGATTGAAGTTTATATTCCAGAAATCCATATAAGTCTATGGTCGAAGTTCACAAAATGTCTACCAGAGGCTCTCATTCAACAACTTCCAACAAACGCCAACCTCTACCGCTGGGGCAAAATGCCAAATGCTCTGTGTCCACTATGTCAGGCTCGTCAAACTAACAAGCATGTGTTGTCAAACTGCAGTTCAATTTCGTCCCTGAAAACATATAAAACACGTCACAACAATATACTATCGATGATTTTAGAAAAAATTCAATCATTTGCTGGTGCGGATGTATTGATCTACGCAGATTCCAACTGCAGCAAATACCTTCCAGTATCATCTCTCTTCAAATCACTTCGTCCAGATATTGCCATTCGACGAGGTGATACTATCGAAATACTGGAATTAACAATTTGCCATGAATCTAACTTTTCTAAATCTAAAAAATATAAAACGTCAAAATACTTTCAAAATCTTAATAACAATTTGATAGATGAACTGAAAAACTCAAATATTATAATAAATTCATTTGAAATTTCCCCGCTAGGTTTTTTAAATATTTTAAACTATCATTAATTAATTTTATTTGGTCTGACCCTTTTCATAGAAGTTTAATTAATTCCGTAGTATCGTCATCTTACGCAATTTACTGCAATAGGAACACGATTTGAACATAATTTAATGTTGATTCTATTTCTCTTTGTGCCGATTTGAAATGTATGGCGGGCATTGTAGATTATCTATATAATTAATGTTATAAGTTTTATTACTTTAACTTTATAACTAACTACAATATATATTTTAAAATGAAAATAAAAAATTGTTCTCATTATTATTATTGCTGTTGTTGTTGATGGTGTTTGTTTTTATTATCATTATTGTTATTATCATCGTTGTTAGATTGTTGGTTGATCCGATTAACGTTATTGTTGTTCATTCTTCGAGTTGGAAGTGTTGTTGTGATTTGTTGTTAGATGTTGATGGAAGGTATTTCAGATTCGATTTTGCGATTCTTAGGTTGTAGTGCTGTTAGTTGTTGTATCAAAATTGTGTGTTGTTATCTAGAAGGTTCCTAGTTATTAGGGTGTTGTGGAAAGTTCCTAGATGGTATTTTATTGCACCGTCTCTTTGTGCATAGTTAGTCTACGCGATAATCATCCCTATATATGAAGTTTGATGACGCGCACAGTCGTCAAAAGGACAAGAAAATTTATATATGGGATGACTGCGTTTCAAAATGGAAGTGTTGTGAGGTAGGCAATTATTTAAAATTAAAAGGTTAGATGTTTTGTAGTTTTTGTAAAATATTCTTAATTTTATTTTATCGTTCTGGTTAGTTGGTTTAATATTATCATAGATTATCTTCTTCATGATTTTTCATCCGTTTTGTAGGACGAAGACATGATAATATAGTATAATGTTATTATTATTATTATTGTTATTGGTGTTGTTAATGTTGTTTGTGTTAATGGCATTATCGTTGTTGTTATTGTTATTATTATTATTGTTGTTGTTATTGTTGTAAGTGTCATTAAAACTGTTGTTGTTATTGTTCTTAATATTATTATCGTTATTGTTATTTTTGTTGTTACTGTTAATATAATTGCTGTTGTTGTTATTGATTTTTTTATATAAATATTTTTAATAAATTGTCGGTTAGGTTAGGATTAGGGTTAGATTAAATATTATCAACATAACTTGTGTAGATGTTGGGTTAAAGTTCAGGATGTTGGTTGAAGGTTACTTGCTCTAGATTACCAAGATAGAAATTAGCAAAGAGAACGCCTGAAGGAGATCCCATGGCAATTCCATCATTCTGTTTATATAGTTTACCAGTCGGGCTGATGAATGATGATAGATAGATAGATAGATAGATAGATAGATAGATAGATAGATAGATAGATAGATAGATAGATAGATAGATAGATAGATAGATAGATAGATAGATAGATAGATAGATAGATAGATAGATAGATAGATAGATAGATAGATAGATAGATAGATAGATAGATAGATAGATAGATAGATAGATAGATAGATAGATAGATAGATAGATAG